CGGACGCCTGAACGGTGGCCGCCAGGGTGCCTCCGAACAGGAGCAGGGGTGGCAGACGCAAGGGAGGCCCGGTGCCGAGGGCCCGCGGAGATCGAGTTAAACGGCCACCCTCCGGGCGGACTGTGTGGGCGTGTGCTTGAGCGCGCCTGGGTCTGATCGGTGAGGCGCCATGCGCAAGCGGCCGGCCTGCCCCCACCACGCGCGACCCTCTATGTTCTGCGAGGGCGACGAGGGCGCATTTTCCGCGGCGCGTCATTCCGGCGAAGGAGGCGCCCGGCGCAGCCCAGGTGAGCGGTGCGCGGCGACTGCTGGCGACTACTGGCGACTAGGCGCCAGCTGACCGCTGTTTGGACCCCCGGGGCTGGGGGTGGGGGGGGGCAAAATAGCCGAGGGCTGGTGGGGACGTTGGCCGGGGGCGCGCATGGGCGGCGGCCGCGGTGACGGCGGCCGTGGAGCCCAAGCCCTCCCCCCCCCCCCCCTCCCCATCGCAGCGTGCGGTGCCTAGACGCCGGGCCTGGCGGGGGGCAGGGGGGGCGAGCACGGGCAGGGGCCGGGCGCCAGCGGGCGAGCAGGTGAGTGTCCGCCGGGTGGGGCCGCCCATATGGAGAAATGAGGAATGGTGTCGTTCCCGCTGGGGGATGGCAGAAAAAAATGGCCTGATTCTGCCCGGCTGGCCCCCTGGGGGGGGGGGGGGGCGCGCGCGGCGAGGGCGCGCGGTGCGGCGCCGCTCCTCCGCTCCCGGGCCACGGTGGGACCCGTCCCGGGCTAGCACGCCGGGACTATTGCTCTTGCTGCTGTTGCTGCTGCTATTGTTGTTGTTGTTTTTTTTGCTGACGCCCCCGCCGTGCGGCAGCGCCCTTCCCCGGCACGCCTGGTGCCGTTGCTGCTGCCAGCCGCGCCGGGGTGTGGTCTTTTCCCAGCCGCGCGCCCAGGCAGCAGGGGCGGCGCACACGCGGGCGCCTGTCGCCAGGCGGGCCTCAGCCCTCTCCCCCCCCCCCCCGGGGAGGAGGGGGGCGGGGGGGACGGGAGGCGGACGGGGGCACACCAAAACGCCCGCAAGGGTGCACACACGAACGGGGGTTTCAGATCCGCTCGGTGAGCCGGGAGCGGGAGCGCAAGCGCTAACGCACGGGCAGGCTCAAATGTGCGGGCGTATGCGACCGGGACAGATGGGCAATGTTTACTTTGGGCCGATTCCGGCCCACGCGCCTCCGTGTCACGGGCATGCGCGCGCGCGCGCGCGCGTACACAGACAAGAGCATGCTCCTCCCCTGCGCGCACAAACACCACATGTACCGAAGATGTGTATTTGGGCCAATATTAATGCTGTGGTTTCTCTCAAGCCGGACCAGGCTCCTTCGCGGTTACTGTGTCAGGAGTTTCCCACCCCGGCTCGGGTTCGCCGGTTGGGAGCACATGCCCCCCCCCCCCCCGCCGGGTGTGAGGAGCACGGAATCCTGGAGCCGGTTTAGACCACCCTCTCTGGCGCGGTGAAACGCCCCATGTGTCGCCGCAAGGGCCTGGAGGGGGGGGGGGGGGGGGGGACACGCTTTGCTCCAGGCGGATGGGTCTCCACTCAGAGGTGTGGAGCGGGTTCCGGGGGGGACCGCTCTGCGGCAGGCGCACTCGCCTTCCGGTCGCCCGGCCCCACCCGCGCCCCAGGACGCCAGCCACCACGGCGCACGCGCAGCAGCGCCACGCTGCATGACGCTGCTGCGCGCGCGCCTTTCGTGCGAATGTGCACACAGGCACATACACACGCCGGCCCCGGGATCTGCCCGATGTCCCAGCTTCACAAGGACGCGGCCCGTGCGCCAAGTCCTTCCCCACTCGCTCAGTAGGTCCTCCCCTCCCCCCCCCTACACACACGCACACGCAGACGCATTTGGATTTCCCCCTGCACACGCTGCTGCGCCTATCAC